TCCCGACGCGCCCTTCAAACCTGGTCGTGCATCAGCTCGCCCCCACCGAAGTCTCCTCGCCGGGCAGGGACTGCGGAAAGCGTCGGCGTGGGGTGTTTTATCTTCACGGAGCCTTGCTCAAATGACCATGTTTTGTCTCCATCCCTAATCTTTGCCTTCCAGCGGCTCAGAGCGATCCCAGAAAGCACCCGTTGGACTCTCCAAAAGGAAGGTGCAGGGAAAACGAGCCTCCTCGTGCGCCGAGCATCCCCCCGGCACCAACCCTTCAGGGGGGCCGCGGCCGCCGACGCTGCGCCACAGCCGCCTGCGGGGCTCGGGTAAGGTAGCGCTTAGCGATGCCGATCTCCCGCGGAGACGTTACCCTGAAGGGAGGATTAATTCTCTGCTTGGCCACGTGGCAGCTTCGCCCTCGCTGAGCCCCACAGCCTTCGCCTCTCGAGGATTCAGCGAAGAGCCTGCTCGACCTGAAACGTCCGACGGGCGGACCTGGAGCCCGCGACTGCTCCCGCTGGTTCAGGCTGCCCCGCATGGCCGGCGATCTTCCATAGACAACGTGAGCGAGGCAGGGAGGGCACCTCAGTGCATACGTACCACAAACCTGGGTAATTAGAGGCCGGTCTGACGGCAATTCCCAGGCAAAATAAAGGGACGGCTGATACAGGCCTTGATTAACGGACGATTTGCAGAGAGCACTATAATTGCCGCCAGCCGATGGGGGTTTACGGACATAGATCTCATCAGACCAACTTGGTATCTTCTCCGTGAGATCTCCAGCTCTGCCAAGGCAGGGTGGAGAGCATTTGCCTCAGTGTCACGACCCTGATTAAGAAACTAGAAAGATATCAAAGCAGGATGATGCTTAGTAATTCAATTAAAAAACATGTCTTAAAACGTAATGGCAAATGGGAGTCCACCAGGCAAGAGACCCTACAAGGACTCTTATTTAGTTAGTTATTTATCAGTTTTATCAAAGATTGGGAAGATGTTTTCAAATCCCGATGATAAAGCCTGCAAGGATGCAAGGGCCTTGCACCTACAGAAGAAAACGTGGCCTTCCCAATGGCTAGTGACTTTACTCCAGGACACGGCAGTCTTTGGGGGGGCAACACTGCAGGACCGAGAAGTTAATCTGATCCTCAGATGAGTAAAGAACCGGACTGCTCTGTGGACTGCTCTGTCCACAGTTCAAGGAAGATGCTGGAGCTCAGAGAGAGAAGAGTGATCACAAGATGGAAACATCTGCTCTACAGCGAGAGATTCCAGGATTTGCTTAGCATGACATGGCTGAAGGGCAACTTTGTCACTGGGAATTAAACCTGAAACGGCGGTATTTGAGAGCGCTTTCAACCTGCAGATAAGGAACAGCAAGATCCATAGGCTGGAAAGCTGAAGCTCGACACGTTGAGTCACAGACAGACATGCATTGTAAACAGGGGATATAATTAACCACTGGAACAACTTCCAAAGAGGTTGCGATGGATTTGCCACTGCTGGATATTAATTTGGGGAAGTCCTGTGACCAGCGCTATGCGGGAAGTGAGACTAGCTGATCACAGCGATATAAATACATCAGGCTGTGAAAGCACTGCTGAGCCTGGACCCAGAAATAGGCTGGTTTCCCTGGTGAAAAAGCACGGTGAATTTGAGTATCCACAGCCAGAACTGCGACCCTCCGCACTGCAGCTGGCGAAAAGAGCTCCCTGAGCAGCCTGGAGCTAAGCTCGTGCCTCAACCCCATGGGGAAGGGGTGTTTGAACACGTTCCCTGAGCAGGAACAACGGGTAAGTTTATGTCTTTTCAGCCACCACTACCTCATAGCTATTATCTGGGCCCAGTCTTCTCCTCCGTGTGGGGAATTTCAAACCCTCAACTCATAGGATAGAGCCCTAAGCCGTTTGTTTGGGCCTGGGGAGGAAAGGGATGGCACGCTTTATGTTTCCTTCATCCCCTGATGTACCACAGGAAGGAGAAGGTGAGATGACTCGGGCTGGGGAGGAGGGAGGGCAAACGTCCTCTGCAGCCAAGCAATCCCAGGAATTGGGACATGGAAATCCTGACAGCCAGAGCCTGCTCCAAAGACTTTAAATAGCCAGGAGATAAAAAGAGCACGCCAAAGCTTGCCTGCAGGATCTGTCCTCCGGTACATTACTGCCTGCTATCTAATACACCCAAGCAACGCACAAGCCAAGTGTGCAGACTGCTCCTTCCCGCACAATACACCTTAGGCAAAGGCCATAAAGCAGACTGCTGCCCAAGGAGTGACGAGGCAAATCAGGATGGGCTGAAGCCGTTGCACGTGACAAAAGAGACTTTGTCCAAGCTCCTTTATATTTAATCCGCCAGATGAGAAAACTCACCTCGAAGCTCATCCCGCAGCAGGGAGATGAGCTTGCAACCCTGGTCTCTGAGAGGAGGAAGGCAGTTTTCCCACCAGCCTGCAGCCCTGCCACCAAGGGGAACAAGGAGCCCAGATTTCTCCGCCTGCTGCATAATCACTCCCCAGATCCCAGCCCAAAGACCTGTTGTGCTCCCCGCTAAAAGACATGCCCTAAAACATATCATCCCCACAGCCTAGCACTGAGATATGCTGGGGAGGTTTTACAAATGCTTGTTTACAACATAACTCACCTCTGGCTTTCTATACCGCTACAGAGCCCAGCAAGCTCGTGCTGCTGAAGCCTTTGCGCCATACCTATTTCTCGTGCTTCGAGAAGGCTGAATGCAAAAGGTCTCTAAGATTGCTGGGATACCACGAACCTCTCTGCCAGGCAGCCTTATTTACCTGGTGGGAAAAGAGCTGGTGTAGCACAGCTCTGCCATGCTCCTTTCACCCCTTCAGACCCCTTTCTTCCCATTTCGTGAACGCCCAGCAGCAACGCCCCTCAATGCCACACACGAGAAACGTCCCCTACTGAACTGAACAGAGATAATGCACGTGGCTAAAGAAGCTATAAGCCCTGCTAGCCAGAAGAGTCCATTCCCAAGCACGTTAACTGACTTGTGCTGCACACGTTTACCAAAATGCTTTATTTACATTTCAACGTATAAAAAACAAAAAGGAAACATGATAGATGCCAATTATTAAATAATTTCAGGAGAACGTCAAGAACGCGGGTCTAGCCTGCAGAGAAGACTGGGGCAGCGGGGGACTGGAGCTGCTCAGAGCCGGCACAGGCCTCACCACCAGCAAAGGAGCACTGAAATAAAGCAGAACAAACAGCTCTGAAATGCTAGATAGCCGTCCCTAAGTCATCCTACAAGCAGCGCGACTGTGCAGCGACACTGGGTACCGCTCCAAGTGAGTACTACTTGCTGCATGTAGTAGCTCACGTCAAACTTGCCCATGTGACCTAGGGTACCCAGAAGTCTTCCTGACATCTGCATCTACCTTGGGGCTTATAACCAACAGCGCCTGTTTCTCCCTGCTGCTTTTAAAGGAGCTTGACAAGTAGCTGATTTAGCTGTCTGAAGCAGGTGAGAGGCAGCAGGGTGCAGAAAGGCAGGTCCCAAGACCTGGCTAGAAAACAAGCGAGGTGGCACCAGCCCTCAGACCTAGAAATGAAGTAGATTTTTCAGTTGCAAGTTGGCGATCAGCCAGAGGTCACATACAGGACCACCGAATAGAAATGATCAACAGGTTTGGGCCAGGGGACCACCCTACGGGAGACTCTACCCCGCAGCACAGGTCTACCCATCTGCAAGGGCATCTGTTACTAATGTTGTTCCCATCTTCAGAAGCATATAGATGCCACAAAAGTCAACAGGAAAATGGAGGAATGGTTATATTCCCTATTGTCACTTCATCAAATAGAAGGAGCTCCCAAGTATCTGATGCGCAGCAGATCTGAAAGCCTTTATTATGGCAGCGGGGATGCAGCTTCATGAGAAATTCCAGATGTCTTTGGAAATCATTTCATGGAAGGTCAAGAATTGTGTGGAGTTGGCTTTTGTCACTGCCTGCCTGCTGAAATTTGAAAAATCAGCAACCAAAAGGCTAATCCAGCAGATTTTTGACAAGCTGCAGCCTGACACATTGAAATCTGCACAGATTTGTTTAAATGGCTGTTTTTTTATGGTAAAGTGGGCGGACAAACGGAAACAGAATACTGTAGCTTAGCCTCAGCTCTGTCTCACGCCTATCGGTTTACCCACAATGAAGCCTGACCAAAGACCACGCAGAGTGGAAGGGTCATAATAAACGTTGGAAACATCACCCTTTGGGCGAGGACAGTAGTATTTTTGTGAATTAAGGGGAGACGATATAACATGCTAATTCTTGGCCCTTCAGTGGTGGCACGAGCACAGTCCCATGGCGGTGCTAAGCAAGGAGGCTCGAGTCCTCTTTTCCTTCAGCTTTTCTCTATCCTCGTCTCTCCCACACATGACAGGAGGCTCTGCTTTCTGTAGCAATCAGAGAGTTAACAAACCTGCAGGTCAAAGTGAACGTCCTCCAGTCCCCCCAGACTGCCTAGGTAATACCAGCTGGTTTCCGGTTGCAGCCTCCTCTCATCCACTGGCTTCTGAAGCTCAGACTTCAGGGCAGCCAAACCTCATCCAAGCCAGGGTTGCCCCGACCTCATCTTCCCCTCGGCTGCAGCTGCAAAATCCTGTCCTTCTCTTGTACTGCCTTTGGTACTCGTGCAGCTCAGAGGGAAGCTAGTTCAGGGAATTGGGCTGGCAAAAAACAGCCCTATTGGAGAAGAGTTTTCTGGTGGTTCAGTGAGCTGAATCAGCTCTCTGCAGGCTCAGGTGAATGCGAAAACAAGTCAAGAGAAAAGTAAGGAGCACAGTAGCCCACCGTTCAATTGCACGGGGTGCTGCAAAAGACTGAGAGACTTACCACATTTCTCTTTTCATTGCTTTACATTTCCCCACACTGAGAGATCACAACTGGCAGCTTTGGTTTGTTATTTGGACCCGTAGGCACATTCTGGCAACAAACAAATATATAACGTTACACATTAGAAGAACACAGCAAAGCCAGTGAGCAACAGGTACTCGAAGACTGGCTAGGAGGGGCCCGTGCAATATCAGGAACGTGGAAATCTGGACGCAGCTCCGAGTAACTCGCAAGCACCGTCACGCACTTTGGCAAAGGACCCTGCCGTGAGCCAGTGAACCCTCTGTACGCTGAGGTTTGGGATACAGACCAGACTCTGATCTTTTGAATGGCAGGGAAGGAACAGAGCAAAAGCTAGAGAGCTTCTCATGAGCTAACATGTCACTTGAGGCTGCTCTGACTTGAATTTTTAAAGCCACTAACTGCAGCTGTTACAAGCAAAGCAAACTTTTTGCACAAAAGGGGAAGCTAAATAAGAGATAGGCACAAAGCATCCTGAAAAACTATGCAGCTGAACCACTCTTTCTGCTGGACCTGGCTGCTTTTAAGTCTCTTAATAAGTCTACGTATTTCTGTTAGTTCACCCCTCACTGCAGTGACTTGCATCCTATGAAGCAGGACACCATGATCCTTCCATCAGTGCTCGTAGAAGTGCTTTTGGCAAAGGGAATCCGCAAGGAATATCTCCTCTTTCACACGTAGCCACATGGCAATTTCTTCTCTAGTTTAGCAATGCTACACCTCCAACTAGCAGTACGACCGACTGTGTAACTACACTATTCGGGTAGCTAGAGCGCAAGCCCAAAACAGTTCAAAACCAGTCCCTAAAAGAGGGTTAGCAACAAGTGCATTGTACCATGCTGTACAGTTTCTTGCATGAGACCTTGTCTCAATACCTAACAGTTTTTGGCCCTGTGTTCTCCCCACTTTCTGGATTCTCCCATGGCGATCAGAGGCCCTTGTGCATTTTTCCCCAAACGGTACAAGACTGCACCATACAGTTAGCCCTGCTGTCTTGGAGAACACAGTGCTAACTTATTAAATCTACTCACTATCCTGCTGTCACACCCAGTCATAATTATTTCAGACAGGGTAGCAGCGGTCACCCCTGGGTGTATTTATCTGCAGCTCCTGGAAGCCCATCAGAAGACTTGTTCAATTCTTCTGATTAGAAATGCTGATCACAGACCAGCTGAACTGATGATTTAGCATCCACTGAATAATCCCATGCAATGACACAGAAGCGATCCGCTTCGCATTCTTGTATGAGTTGCTGAGGGAACAACTTTTCAATTCAGCTTCGCGAAAAACCCCAACGCATTGCAAATAATGTCACGAGAACACAATCCCTGCTCAAAAACTAACTGGCAACCACAGGGGCACAGCATTTCTAAAATCAGTCTATATGACAGCCTCTGCCTCAACAGACCTATTATTTTATAATGATGACAACTGATAATACCATTTACCATCACTATACTCCCTGGTATCCTGTACATAGGCAGAGGGAGAGAACAAAAGAACCCTTGTTTCTCCCCCATGTTACTTTCTAACATGGGCATTCACAGAGAAAAAAGGCAAATTCAACTTACTTCAATTTTTCTCATGACCAACAGCCCATCGATGATTTTGCCTAGAATGGGAAAAAATATCCATTTCAATAGGATCTATTTTTACCTTCTCTGGCTCCCAACTCATCACATCTACATGAACTCCTATGCTTCCAGAAAAGCCTTGTGCAGTGTGCAGCTATTGGGCGCTTTGGGGTTTTTTCAATGCTCTCTCAACTGATAAAGGAAATAATGCCTCTTCAAATAGTTTCTGCGTCCAGGACAGATTACGCATATTTTCCCAAGGATGACACGTGTGTAGAAATCTCGGTTTTGAGACCTACCTTTGCCAGTTGTGTTGACATACAGCACAAGCTACGTCTCCATCGAGATGATATTTGCAATGATGCAAAACTGACAATGACTGATCTCAGCGTGGCTTAAGAATTGGAAGAAGTAGTTAAGTAGGACATTGGCTTAATGGCAGGCCTTGAAATCCTACAGCTCAAGAGGGGCAGTACATGAAAAGTAAGCAGATGTGGTTTTGTAAGGTTACTACCTAAAAACCTCTGCTGAAAGCTTAACTCGGGTGCCAGTCCCACTCTCTGACAGTAGAGAAGACAGGTACCCTTCACCCATCTGTCCCTCTGCACTGGCCCAGTTTTTTACACGGTCACACGATACACTGATCAAGGAACTGATCTGGATTAAAGCTAACCTGGGGAAAAATGTTTCATGTCCACAGTGACCCACCTCAACATCTGGCTGCACAAACACCTCTGCCTGCATAAGGAAAAGGGAAGGAACAAGCAGTTTGCGTTTCTTTCTTTTAGCAGCGGGGTCACACAGGACATCCGCGAGCAGGTACGCCAGGCCTGCCCTGCCGGTACTCACCAAACACGACATGTTTCCCATCCAACCAGTCACATTTGGAGCACGTAATGAAAAACTGACAGCCATTGGTACTTGGACCACTGTTTGCCTGGGGGTTGAATACACACAAAAGTACTCAAATTAGGCCTTCCCAAAGCTGAAGGCAGAAGCATCTCACATGGGAAAGAGCTGTTGCTCTCAAGCTAGCCTGGGGTTATTCTTAGCTTCTTGCTACACATACCAAAGGAAGCAAGATATACATCTGCAGGAGAGTACATTGTGCTGGGAAGTAGCGCACCACCAAGTCTGATCCTGCCGACGTGCGCAAGAGTCAAGTCACCAACTTTTTCTTATACTTCTACAAAGGCATGATTAGCACAAGATTGTGCTGAAACCTGGGCTCTAGAGCATGTTCCCGAAAAAAGGCTCAACTCTGGTGATCTCTGACTTACTCGGAAGGTAGCTTCAGGATAAAAAGGTTTCTGTTCTAAAGATCAGGATGAGAAAGCCAACAATGACATTGGCACAGGTTTCACAGGAATGGCGTGATGAAGGGAGCAATTCACACTTGAGCGCAAGGCCTAGAGCATGCATCCTCTCCTGGGGAAACATCTCTGCAACTCTTAAGGCCGTTGTGTTTTTCCAAAGCTCTTTTGCCAACCAGGAGATACAAGAGCATGTTTCTATGCCAAGAAGTGAGTCACACAAGTCTTGCAGCTGCAGGACAGCACAGGACATGGTCACACTGAATCTGCTCTGTAGTGCTAACCAGCTTTGGAACAGCTGGTTTGGTCCAGCAGGATGACTCCGGAGCCATGCTGCTTCAACATAAAACCAGCAATACCAGCGTGGTATCCTTGCTCCCACGGTATGGTACGCTGGTTGCTTAGTTGTTTCACGACGCCTCTTTTTGGGCCGTGCTTTGGACTGGATGAATAACTGATCCAAATGGTAAAAGCCCAGAGCAAGTGCTTTTAAGGGCAAGACAGCTAGAAGAGCTGGGGGACAAATGATTGTGGATAGCAACACTTAAGCACTGGCCCCACTTGTTTTCGTTGCAAAAAATAGCATATGGTTCCTACCAAACAACATGCAACAGTTGCAGTTTCTCCTACTATGCTGAGCAGGAAGTATGAATTACAAAAGATACCATGGTAACATTGCTATGGCTTTGAAACTCCCAAATCTGTTTGTTTCATCCTTGCTGAGGTCAGTGTTTGACAGCGGTATCAGGGATAAAAAAAAACACGCACTTGCCACAGTACAAAATCTGCAAGAATCCAGCCGTTCTAAAAGCAGATCAAACCAAGCCTGCCCCAGAAACTCCAAGAGGTAAGGAGAAAACAGTGGTGCAGGATCAGGACTTTTGTGTTACTCAGCACATTAACCCCTGAGTAATCTTCTCACTAGTACTTGAGAAGCAGGTCTTTCCGACCTGAGAGCCAAAGGTGCAGATTGTCTGGCCAATAATTTATACTTGTAACAAAAAGGCACTGGGAAAGTGCCAAAACCTTTTTAGTCTTATGGTTTCATTGTTTTATACTTACCATAGAGAGCAGACCAGGAGCAGAGTGTTTGAGCTTAAAGTTCTCATCTGCAAAAGGACCCCGGTATATACTGGCTACACCGGTGCCATCTCCCTGCGCAAGAGAAGTGCCCAGTCAGCAACAGCATTTGTTCTGTAGCATGAATTTAAAATCCCCCAACAAAAGAACGTTGTAAAATTAAGCCCAAAATCGATGCTGTACTGCCATTTAAACACCACTGGTGAGCACATTCAGATGTTTCATCTCTAAAGAGGAACAGTGACTGGTTTCTAATGACACAGTACATTATTTGTCACCCCTACATCAGGTAGAAATTTGCGCTCAGCGTCACATGGGAGTGACAGACATGGTAGGGGTTGAAGGGGGTCGAAGGGGTCAAAGCCTCCAAGAGCGAGGTGGAGGTTATACCAGGTCTGGTACGGACCCACCTGGACTTGGCAGGCACTCCAGGGAAAAAGAGAGGGGAGACAGGGCTATGGGTTGGGGTGACAAGGAAAGCGGAAGTGGTTGCGTGGAGAGAGACGGGTGGATGATGGTACATTCAGTTATTTCACCTTATTTTCTGCGACTTTACTGAAAACAGGGAAGTGATCCCATCGTTCAGTTTTTAGCAGATCCCGTCTGCGAAGGCATGGTTCATGCCAGAGACGTAGCTCGCGGGAAGGCTGAAAGGCCGCCTTGCCCTTTTCTCCAGCATTGCAGGGAGACTCCTGTATGGGGCAAAAGGACCCGAGCTGGGTCCCTTCAGCAGCGCAGCCTTAAGGGTGCTGCAGGGAGGAACCCTTCAGAGAAAGCTGCCGAAGTAACGCAAACACGTACTTCTGGACGTGTACACGTACTATTTGGATAGTAATTTCCCTTTCTGTGCTGATTTAGTGTTTCCTTCAGCCCTTTTTTTCTTCTGCCCTGCTGCATCTCGTCTCCCTTCATTACCTTTCCACTTAACTTTTTTGCGTGTGTGCGTTAAGCCAGGCTTAAACAAGGAAAATAAGATGCCAGTAACATACCACTTGCAGCGCTGCACCTTTTGCTCTACTTGCCTAGTCTCTGCTTCTTTTACTGCTATGTGGCTTATTCAAACTGTCAGCTACAAGGCAGGATCGTGTACCCTATTTCAGGGCCCAGTGTGGCCGTTCTTGGTCCCCAAGTAGCTTTATAAGAAGCGCAATTAATAAGTTACAAATACCAGTGCAACCTGTAAAGCTTGTTGAGCTTTAGTGAAAGTAATAAAGCCACGGGGACATTTGAGCAGCATGATGATTAGGACTAGCTGCAAACCCAATGTGACTAAGCCACACACTTTGCAGTCAGTTCTCTCAGCTTTCACAAAATTGAGTTTTGTGTTAAAAAGCTTTTTCCATCATCCCCCTCCAATCGCAAGTGGTTCGGGAAATGAAATAATTTCCCCAGGTCCTAGGGTAGCGAAGAGACCCAGTGATCATCCAGCATCTCCCCAACAGTTGGCTTATCCGAAAGGCACAATACTGTAGGTACAAAGTCTTTTCTACTTTGAGACAATTCACTAATAATAGAAATTAATTTTGATTTAAATAAATCCTGGACTAGACGCTAGGATTTATGCTCAGAGTCTCTCTCCACAGAGCCAAAAGAAATTTGTAGGGTTTCTTGCCTGGGGGACAGAAGAAAGGAGAAGGGCAACAGGGTAAAAATTCCCTGCAAGTTTGAAGAGTCTCTAATGATGCTATCATGCTGTTTTAAAGGGGAAATATTTTGGGAGAGAAGAAAACGTGCTTGCCCAAGTCTCCGGATTTCTTTCCAAGTACATTGTACTTGTACTGCTGCAGTAAGATCGTAGGAACATTGTAAGGAAACCTCCAGTTATTACTGGCTGCCTCATAAGAGAGCCAACAGATATTGCAAGTAAGCATGGACCTTGGGAAAGAGTCGCATATTATACCACACAGCAAAAGTACAAAAGAAATACAGAAGTACATACGTTTACAAAGTCACCTCCTTGGATCATGAAATCCTTTATTACCCTACAAAAAGTAAAACGATACTTACTTCTCAGTCAAAAAATGCCTCCAGAAGCTTACTATGTCAGAAAAGGGAGTTAGTTCTCACAACCAAAAAAATCATAAGGGTCTGTAAGTACTACAATGCAAAATCTACACTGAATATTAACTACTGGCTGATATAAAGTAATTTGGGATCCACTGCTGTTAAACATGGGATAGATTAGGTGATATATGCAAGAACATAATCTCTGACCTGGCAGACCAGGAATGGGGGGACCCCCTGCAAAGTGACCCCTGTGTGTCAACTCAAAAGCTCCAAGGAGACCATGGTTTCCCTCTGGTATATCTGAGGGCAACCCCAAATCCCCCAATCCCCCCAAAGGACAGACATGCCAGAGGCTCTGGAAAGATGATACCAGCAGTGACCAGTCCTCCATGCTTAAAAAACACCTCCCAGACTAATAACACCTTTGAGGCAGCTCTCAAAACCAGGCCCAGCTCACACTGCTGTTTAAGCATCTAAACAAAAGCAGAAGAGTTACCTGTGGAAAGTGCTTCCCTTATAACCTATAGGGACACCATCTTTCCTAGGAGGAAATAAAAAGGAAAATCATTGCAGTTTACTGTATATCCCAACACAAAACTCTCCCATGGGATTTGCTGGCAGTGCCAGTTACAGCAACGTACCCAAACCCGTACCCGACTCTGGCCGCACCCAAAAGGGAAGGCTGGGTAAGTCTGCCATCCGTGTGACTGAGCCAGTCGTGTTTTCTCTAACTTTTTCGTTCTGTGTTGATGCACTAAGAAAAACTTCCAGGTGACCTCTCTTTCTAGTCCCCCAGCCCTCTGCTCATCTGAATATTTTTTAATACTATTTAGAAGGAGAATCTAAGCACATACCTGAATTCACCTGTACAAAACTGCCTGGAAAACAAAAAGTACAAAACAGCAGAGCATGAGTCACATTTGTATTCCTAGGAATGCCAAACCGCTGCGCTCTGAATGTTTTACAGAAGAAAAACTGCAGGATTGTCCTTAAAGCATCAGGAATACCACCAAGGAAAAGGGCAACTGTCAGGAACTGCTCATCGTTTCCATTTCAAAAGGGGCATTTCTGCAGTTGGGGAGGGTCAGCTGTTCAACACCGGGGTTGTAAGAGACGGCGAGCGTGGCGTGCGGCACCGTTTTGCACAGAGGGCAGGGTATATGAATGTCTACTGTGGGACTGAGATGACCACGGAGAGAGGCGCGAAGGGGATGCAGCGGCTCTGGCAAGGAGGTGGTTGCTCTTGCACCGGAAACGCTCCCGCAGCACGAAGCGGCGCCGGCTGCCCCTTACCTGAAATTCTCCGCCGTTTTGGGCACGACGTCAGCGAACAGCTCGATTTTCATGCGGCCGACCTCCT